GAATCTGTAAAAACGCTCTCACTTTACTCGAATCTGTAAAACGCTCTCTTTCATACAGCGCGCCACTCTATTTATACTCTGACGCGGCGACGTCATCAGTCGCGCGAAGCACGAGCTTCGCGTACGGCGTAGGTCAGCATGAAGTGGCATATATGACGGCTTCCATGCATCGTCGATGCACTGCATCGGTAGTTTTGTCTTCTTTAGATTAAATTTTCTTTCAATCGACGGAAACAATTGTAGTAGGGGGAATCAAATAAAGGTGGAGGGCAGGTACGTAAGCGCTAACCCTTCCAAAGTGAATTTCTGAAGAGGTAAAGTGAAAATGTTGTATTGGAATGCAAAACGGAGGGGGGGGGGGAACGTTACAATATGTTATCAACAAGGAGGCAAACAACCTCAAACATAGGCAAAGGAGGCAAACATAGTGCAACTCTGATAACAAAGGGATCTACGTATTTCAATGGCGGATTTATTTCAGGGGAGTCCTGACGCTCCACCCCACTTTAATTTCTAAAAATATCACACCAATGGTCCCCTCTTGAAATTATAATTTTGACTAGCTGAATCATAAAATACCAATTTTTTTCACGCCAAAGGGGTAGGGGGGTAGAAGGGTAGGCTTCTCATCCGCGGACCCCCCCCCCCCCTTTAAATAATTCTGGATCCGTCCCTGGTATTTGATATTATACAAAATTAGAGTATCCTATTTAAAAACTTTGTAACAGACAACGAGCAGACCCTGTGGTCAGAGAGAACAAACGATCCAACTTACACAGGTATTTACATCAACTTAGACTTACACAGGTACACATATATGACCTACTTAATACCGCGCATTTGATTGTATGCACTGTTAAAATAACAACATCAGTGAGGTCATTCTGGACCAAGTTACAATGTACTGGCAGTCAGCCTCAACAACCAGGTAGTGATTTTGGACTGTTTACTGGTAGCAGTTGAAGCATTCGCTTAAAGCAGTATAAGGGTCTTTGGTATAGTCTTCCAGTCCCTCGGGTAAGTATTAATATAAGTTATACTTGTATTAAAGTAATATTTGTTTCTCACTGCATAGTGCAGTCGTAAATTGCCTTTGAAGTAATTAATTATTTAAAATGACGCCGAATACACCACCCCATTACTCAATATAATTAGCAGTACTGGTACATTGTTTAACTTAATTCTAATGTTTGGGGGTATAGTAAACTGCTTTGATACACGTAAATAGGGACTTTAATAATGACGTTGGTCTCCAGCTTGATAAACATATTTTTTTCTTTATACTTGAACATGTATGGATGGAGGTCGGATTATGGCGCCCTCTGTGTCTGTTCTAGAGCGTATTCAGAACAGATGATCCGCGGATCAAATATGGCAGTCCCTTTACGAAAGAAGAGCCATCTAACCCGCTGATGAGCTCCCCTTCTCCGCACGCGCCGTCCTTGCAGGGGTGTAGGAATCAAACATCGGAGCTGTGATTAAATGGCGCGGATTAGTCGGCTCTGCTTTCTTGTAGGGACCGATACGCGGGAACTGTAGAACCGAGGTGAATGCCCTCTTATATAAAGTTTTTTTGTGTACGAGGATGTTCCTGTTAGAAAAAAAAAAAAAAGAATGGCTTTCAATTTCAGGACCTATTATAAAGAATGTACCAGACGACAATGAATTTCGTGACATTTCTATTCTTCTCTGCTGTATTCCATCTCTACGATATAGCCTTCACCTCCACAGTCGTCAGTTCTTTTCCAAGTGGACAGACAGCAGTAGAATTCAACAACATGGCGGTTGATAATGCCAATGAGACTATATTTATAGGAGCTGTTAATGTTCTTTACCAACTGGACGGTAGCTTACAACTGTTACAGAACGCAACGACTGGACCAATCACGGATAGTCCATACTGTAGTCCACCTAGGTCTTATTATTCCTGCTCGCAAAGAACGCCAACAGATAACTACAACAAAATCCTAGTGGTAGACCAGTCTAGGGGTAAACTAATATTATGTGGTAGCGTGTACCAAGGTACTTGTGAGTCTCGACCAGTCATTGATTTATCGCAGGTTACTCCACATCGTGGCTCTGACCCGTTAGAAAATTACGTTGCCGCCAATTCTCCCGATGCTTCCACTGTGGCTTTTATAGCACCGGGGCTCAATTCCCAGGAAGCGTTATATGTGGCTTCTACGTATACGGGTCAGGAGGAGAGTGGTAGACTTCGGGAGCAGGTAGCAGCTGTTAGTAGCAGATCTCTTCAGACACTGGAATTAACGAACTACAACGCACTGTCTGCTACGGGAACGTACATGACAATTTCTTATATTGATAGAAGTACTTATCTAGTGGATTACGTTGCTGGATTCTCTTTGGATGGATATAGTTATTTCATCACTAACCAAAGGACAACACTTAGCAGCACAGAATATGAATCCAGATTAGTTCGAATCTGCCAGAATGACGCTTACTATTATTCATATTTCGAAATGCCCTTGCAATGCACAGGGACCTATCCTCGGATGTTGTTCAATCTTGTGAAATCCTTATCGGTAACAAAACTGGGAAATGATAATGTACTAGTGGGTAATTTTGTCAGAGGATCTAGTTCAGCTTTGTGTGTATTTTCAATGGAAAGTATAAACAATATAATCAAAGATAAATACGAGCAGTGCTACAGTGGAAATGGAAATACTGAAGCTGCACATTTCCTTAGAGGTTCACGAATTTGCAGAGCCTTTCCAGTAAGTTTTATTTTCATTATTTCTGCCATAACTCCCCAATTAATCTGAATCTGTTTTTAAAGCGATATCCTTTAAATGGGCGTTCTGTATAGTGGACTGTCGAAAAAAAGTTCACCTATTTCCGCCAATCGTCACCCATTTTACATTGACTACATTTATACATCCAGTCATATAATTACGGGTCAAGCTACTGCAACCATGACTATGGCGGATTAAACACGCCCCTGGTATCAACCACTCCGGCAACATCAACCCCTGCTCTGACAACCACGTCGTCCACATGGACAGTAGTAGACACAACAACCACCACCAGATACACTGTGGCTTTTGTAGGAACTGCTGACGGACAACTAAAGAAGGTACCGCACAAATGAGTAGTAAATTCTTATTTTCAGCGCAAAGGTGAATTTGTTGTTTAATAATGTAAATATGGTTAAATCTATATACAGAGCTTATGTGTTAATTTAAAAGCGGCAAAGGTAGACAAAGTCCTCGTATGTTAGATTGTGTATTGAATGGTTAAAGGGATTTCTAAAATGTAATCTAACTAAAATTGTTTAATTTCATATTTATATCACCACGTGTAAAAAACTTCGTGAAATGTCTAACCGTTAATAATATTTTCAGATATTAATCCAGTCTAATACATCTGCTGTGGAATATGCATCAGTACAAGTGTCAAACGATCAGGTTAAAGATATACAGTTAGATACTACGGGAGAGCACATGTATGTTATGACCAAATACAAGGTGAGTCTCGTCAAGTTGTTACACAAAAGGTGATGGAAAGTAGCATAGACACGAATATGTAGTCATACTCCATCTCTTAGACTTGTTATTTTAATTGCTCAATCATGCCTTGACTTCGCGTAGAAGGATTTAACTACCTCGTAACCCAAATTGTAAAATGCATGTAGAGTACGTATACACCTTTGAATTTTGCCCAAAAACCCAGTGAGGGTCAGAACGTTTGTTTTAGATTATAACGCAAATAAAATATATAAGTGATTTATATCAAATAATTCCCAGGTCAGTAAGTTGAGGGTGGAAGACTGTGGTAGTTACAGTAGTTGTGATGACTGTCTGGCTTCTAGAGACCCGTACTGTGGGTGGTGCAGCCTGGAAAACAAGTAAGAATAGAATATTGTGTTTGCACTTGAAAGATTTGATTTGAATGCTCGCTGTTTTAAGCTCTCTCTGTATTTTTAGATTTTCGAGAAACAATTAATAACGCACGTGTCCATATTCAAATTCATTGTTTAAAAGCTTCTTGCTGCATTTGCTTATTTTTTTTCAAATCTAATTTACGTGTCTAAATATGCGTGTGGAAATGTTGCAGAGAAATAAGATAAATATACTCATATTATGCTAACCATGTTTTTTGTTATACATACCTAGGGATGTTATATGACCGTGGCGATATGCTGATCACTGAAGCCTGTCCATTTAGACAAGCTTCAGTGAAGATCGAGGGCAACCTCGAGCCGCTACCCAAACGCTTCACTCGACATTTCTGCGAAGCGTCTCTCGGAAAACTCGGATTTAACCTCGATGTAGTCTAGAATTTCACGACTACATCTTGGTTAAATCAGTTGAGGTCTCTTTAATGCTGAAAGCAAAGACACTGATCATGTGACCTTCTTGGCATCAAGAGAATAGTGAAGTTGCTTGGCGTTATATACCTACCAGGTGACAAATTTAAAATCTCTCACACTCTTAAAAAATTGACATAAACTTTTCACGTTTAACAATTTTTCTTTATAATTTTATTACACTAAGTAATATCATATGGGTATGGTTTGAAAACAAGAATTAGTTTACATTTAAGCCACGCGTGCATATAAATTATTTGTAAATCTATAACTTTTTAACGAGGGTTGTGTGGTTTACCTTTTGTTTTCAAGCTGTTCATTCTTCCTCTTTATCATATATATCGGTAAAAATCAAATCTATTCCCCCTTTGAACTTGTAATTACATGTAGCACATGAATGCTCTGAAAAGCAGCATATGTATAATCCGAAACCGCCTCGCAGCAAAAGATGTCACCAAAACGTAGAATTATTACTCCTGTTGACTTGAAATAAACATCCGTTTGATTTTGACTATATTCCGTAACCGCCTCGTCGTCAGAAATAAGAATAAAACTAGAATTATTACTCCCGTGAACTTGTAATGAACATCCGTCTGACTTGGACTATATTCCGAAATAGTCTCCTTGTCAGAAATGTCACCAAAGAGTAAATTTCTTTCTCCTTCGCACTTGTGAAAAATTAGTTTGACTATATTCTGGTCCGACGCTCCTTGTTTATCAGCAATGTCACAAAAAGTAGAGGTTTTGCCTTGGGACCTTTTTTTCCGCAGCAGTCCCAGCTAGGTGTGGCTCAGCTGAGACGCGCATGGTCAGTTGATTAAATACTTTTCAAGCCAGTTGGACGTCCACGACAAGTAATTAGCAATAATTGATCAAATTGGTCAGACATTACATAAGAATTTGGCGGGAGGTGACCAGCGCACGTGGACGAGTTTATTCTATATAACATCTCTAGAGCGTGATATAGGGTCATTTTATTCGGTTTTAGGGGTGTTTTAGGATGAAATGACTGTATTTTTTTCTCGGTATGTATGTCAAATAAAACACTGTCACCCTCTCGCGGTATATGCCATGAACACCTCTCGCTGACGCTCGATGTGTTATGGCATATATCGCTCGGGTGACAGTGTATTATCTCACACATATATTTATATGCGTTAAACCTTTTAGATGCAGCAGAAAAAGTCAATGCTCAGATGCAGATGGTGCCGAAAGATGGCTTCCCTTTGATAATGGACAGTGTATCAAGATCAATACCATTTCACCATCAAACACACCTCTTGCCAGACCCACACAGGTACAAAAATTGCTATATACATTGATTTATTGCACAACCAACTTTCGTTTCATTTGACAATATTTCCAAAAATTCTTTGTGATATCTTTTGGTGGACTCCATCCATCGCTCGAATGAAGTCGGCAGAGTCCAGAATAGAACAGCTTGGAGTAATAGAATTCCAGTGTATCGTCATACTCTACATGTGTGCGAAGGTTCAGTGAGGTGAATGCTATAGATCTTGTATCACAATTGTTAGCTGAATTGCCTAGGCAAACGGTGCCGTAACTGATCAGGTGACCGCTGAGCAACGTCATACACAGGATCAGTATGAGAATCACATTAAATGTGAACGTGGCTGAATGCAGTCAGTAGTTTAATACATGTATCTGTAAGTTGCAATATTAACTACCATCTAAAAAGAATCACTCTTGTGTTCATTGGTGTTTTTAGGTGAACATGTCAGTAAGCCTTCTACCCCCAGGCCAGACCTACCAATGTGTATTTGATACCACAGCTGTCAGTGCCACAGTCACTGGGGGGAACTTGGTGACATGTGACACACCCACCATCTTACCTACAATACCAACTGAGGACGGTAAGGAGTTTTTTTCATATACATTTTGCATATATATCATATCAACAAGATATCCGACAGAATCTTATCCCTAAATACACTCAGCTTGTTCCAGTTCCCACACATTTTTGTTTAATGCAATTACACAGTTTCTACTTTTTTTGCACCATATATCTAAATATTAATGCAGTTCTTGAACATATTTTTAGAATATATTGTTGTTCTTTTCGTCATAAGAAGTATAAGTTCGATATTACAAATATACCATCCAACTTTAAGTTGAATTAAGTAATAGTGCTATGCATCGTTATTATTATTATTATTATTGAAATAGAACACTCAGATATTATTTTGATACAGAATTTTGTCTGTGCCATATTGATAGATCATATCTGTTCTTTAGGAATAAATATTTTCTGATAAGATATTTTTGAATCACGCGCTAAAGAAAGTGCCACTTAAATTCCAGATCACATCACAATACCATTATCTATCAAATCAGTAACGACAGGAGTCAAGTTTTTAACGACCAGCTTCACATATTTTGACTGTGGCGCACACTCAGGGTAAGCAGATATCATTATGCTTTTCTCTACATCACATAATATATATAAATATATATATATAAATATATATATATATATATATATATATATATATATATATATATGTAATAGATAGACCCCGAGTCAGCGAGGGTTATGTGGCATACACGAGTGCGTAGCACGAGTGGATGTCACATAACCCTCACTGACGAGGGGTCTATCTTACTTAGACCACGGTCCATTAACTTCAACAACAGTTCATGACATCACACCCACGCAACTACCCCGCTATCTTCATTACCACACCATGTTTAGAGCGAAGGAGGACGTCACCCTGTCTCAGCTAGATTTATTACCAACCAATCGTTATATAAGGTGGATATCGATGCAGAATCAAAGCGGTTCGAAGAGCCAGTACATTCCGCTGAATTTGAAAAAAAATGGTTGCAGACATAATTCCAGCAAACACACAGAAAAATACGACCTGGGCATGTAATATATTTAAGGACTGGCGCACGTGGCGTAATTTTAGAACTGTCACTATGGCCGACCCTCACTGGCCTTTTCCAACCCTTGAGGAGGGAAATCTAGAGATTTTGGACTATTGGTTGGCTAGATTCATAACGGAAATTAAGCGCCAAGATGGCAGTTCCTATCCGCCAGGTGTGTTTAATTTTTCTTATCATTCGTTATTATCTTTTAAGTCGCAGCAGCACCCTGCTTCAATATTGTTAAAACATTTCAAATAAATATACAATATTCGTGAAACAACTATATTTTGAATTTCAAAAGCATCGTGCGCTTCAGTAACTTCATCTTCAACCCAGCCTGCAAGCTCTTTATCGGCACCTCCAATGAAGCAAAATACGGAAAAGGACGACAAAATTTTAACAATTGAAATACTTTCTGTTATTGAGAAAGTTGTAATAATAAAAAAACGGCAAAAAGATCACTTTTGAAATATAATACAGCTTGTTTTTTTTCTTTCTTTTCTCATATGCGGTGATAAACGCTCAGTCCCTAATTAACTTGCTTTCAGGTGTGTTTACGGTTCTGTGCTTCGATGAGTAGTATGTGCGTGTTTTAGCGGGTTATAACGCATTCATGCGAGACGTGCGGTTATGCGAGTTACACCACGTCTGAGTCTTTTGTTCTTCACTTCCACCGTGGTCTAAATATATACCTGTGTATATCACTGGTCAAAAAAGGTTGTCCCACCTCAATCCCATGTGCTTTTATTTACAAATGATCACCTCACAGGTGTAAAGTGTTACCTGTATACATAAGTGACTACGGTTGGTCGTAAATGTCAGCGGTTAATATTCCTTTCATTACGAGCTTCACCGATCATCTACTCGTACGTATTCGGCATACGTTTCCATTTACTGGCGTGTTGTAATTGTTACCTGTAAGATAAGGACAAGATGGCGACGCCAGCATTTTGTGTAATCCAGGTGAGTGTGTGCTGCTATCTGTCACTCATTGTTTGCAAAAAGCATGATATATTGTACTAGATATAAAGTGAGGATGTTAAATGATGTGTTAACGACAGCAAATTATAGCATAATTAAGTAATTGCCAATTTGTTATTTAACTGAAAGTGCATGATGAATTATGTTCTAATAATGATAAATGAGACTGAATGTCAGAACCTCCAAATGTAAATTAATTCACAATTGTTGTTATTGTAGTTTTTATCGTGGACTGGAGTCTTCCTTTTCATGTTTTGTGAAAGCAAATCCGAATTGAACTCGGGTGAGAAATGTTTATCATTTGTCTGTTAAAGTGCGCAATAGTACACAAACACTAATGGAAACATACNATATTCAATCGAACTGGAGGCCTAACTCTCTGAAAAAATTCACCGTTTGGTCAAAAAATCCAAAACGGCCATCAATTGATGGAATTCTATAGATATATAATAAATTTATGGTGCAGTATGGTACTTCATTTTAAAAAAAAAAAAAAAAAAAAAAAGATGAAACACAGTATCGGATTCTATATTTCAATGACAACAATGAACTTTTCACTCAGAGGTCAATGATGACTAATTCTGGTTTATTGATGAGATGTTTTCCCGGAGTAAGCACTGTATTTACTGAGCAAGCATGGTAAGCATTTTTAATTTGTTAGGAACAGTTAACAGTGAAGGAAAAAGAAAATTAAAGACCATTACATACATAACAAATCATAACATCACTGCTGTATACGTTTACTGGAGTACTCATTATATCATGAAGATACGATCTGGTTTCACCCCAATGAAATTTTGCTTCCTTCGCGCTTGCGCTTAAAATTGTAAGTCGTTTCTAGCGTTTTCGAAGCGAATAAATTTCAAAACTAGGTCCTGGGGTCTTCAGTTGAATTACACCTCTTTCTATACACTGTGGCACAACTGACATCTGATCTCCCAAGCTGTTGATCAGTGCACATAATGGAACTGGTGCAACTTTGGAAACATCTCTCATTTGGAATGCCCGTCAATCCCTTAAAGTAGGTGATGATTTTCACATGGTCGAGTTATCACGGTTAGAAATTACGTGGACGACGTTAGACTGGCGCCCTTTCCTTAAAAAGGCAAAATGGTATGTTCTCCAGACTTATTTCAATGCTTACAGACAAATAATATCTGTAATATATTATCAAAACGTTATTTTGTAATAATATAGGAGTCAGAATGAGTGTGACTTTTCAAAAAATCGATTAGACCACTTATAAGAAACAGGCAAAACGAATGACATAAACATAAATATAAGTTTAGTTATCATATCATGTCATATAAACTATGTCACAGAATGAAATACCAGGTGTTACTCTGGATGCAAAACTATGTAAAAAATGTCAAAGTACTGACACCGCGGTATGAAATGCAGAGAACTGAAAACCAACATTGCTCAAATGATAATGAAATAATGAACATACCATTTGAAGAAAATAACCACTCCCAATGTTACAATTATTAAAGCAGCTATGGCTCCTGTCGTGACCCAGCCTACAGTAGCCGCCATCTTCCTTGCCTCTTCTTCTTCTTGAACCTTTTGTCTGTATTGGCCGACAGCGTCCTCAGTACTCCACTTGGTAGTGGCAGGGGAAGTAACATTGCTCGGCTTTGTAGACAGACTTGTTGCTGATTGCCAATTTAAGGTGACCGACTGCGACGGCACATATTCAAGTGAATCTGGGCTTGCTGATGGCTGTATGTGTGGGTATGTAATGGATTTTGAAGGCTTTGGCGTCGTCTGAGACATGGTATACGTGGACAATGGTGGTACAGATTGAGACTGTATTGAATCGAGGGTGGACAGAATGACTCGGGTTGAAATTGGAGTTGAATAAGGTTCTGTCGTTTGAAATAAGCCGGACGCACCAGTAACTAAAGACGGTTGCCCATTTTGGATTGGGGTATTGGTTGAGGCATCGAAGTTTGGTGGTGCTGAAGACTGTTGTTCAGTTTGTAATGGAGTGACTTTGCTTGTCTCCATTGGTGAAGCCGTCTCGGGACCTGTCACCAGGTTTGGCAATGACAAGTGGGTCAATGAAGTTGATACCAATAAAGCAGTTGGTTGAAAGCCTGTTGCCAAAACTGAAAAAAAAAAAAAACACTTTTCAACACGTTTTTAATTCAAATTATTTGTATGTGTGTGAGTGTGTGTTTGTGTGCATGGAAACTTTAAGCTATTGAAATGAGTTTATATGTTCTATATGTTTTAATTTCACTTTTACGCGAACATTAAACATCTTTGCAGGCTTCGCCGTTAACGTTCGGGTTTTCTCGCTAATAGTATAAAAACATGCGCTTTTATGATCAACTGGGCAATTTGCGCTTGGAGTCAGTACAAATGAAAGTGTCAAAATATGGAGGGAATCACACCTGAACTAGCTGTAAATATACAGACAGAGAGGGAGACAGAAGGAGAGAGAGAAAGAGAGAGAGAGAGAGGAAAGAGTTGCCACTCACGTGGAATAATCACAAGTCGAAATCCAGATGCAACAACAGAATCCTTACTGTGAAAAACAATGTTGATTGGACTGCCATAGACACCACTGGCTAGCGAACCCCCACAATATATTTTGAAACCGCCCGAATCCGAAACGCCACTTATCTTTAGAAATACATAACTGCAAGTTAAATCATCTTCCACGTCGAAAGACTCGATTGTGTAACCCAATTCCTGAAATTAAGGGCATAAAACATAGCTGTAAGATGCAAAGGTCGATGATCAAGTCGCAGATCATGTAGAGAGAAACGGCAAGAGCTTTGGATTCAGCTTTGTTCCCACTGTCAAACCCCGTTTACTCATCACCAATCCTTTATCAATCTCTTTCTCTACATTCATTACAAAACTAAAGTATGACCTAGCCTTTCATGAAAAAGCTACGGCTACGAGACGTCAAAAGAGGTGCATGGTATCTTAAAGGGGTGTGCAACATCATGTACACAATTTTCATGAAGCACTTGTGTGCTGTTGAAATCTACTCATTGCCTAACGGTCTCTTCCTGAGGAATACAAATTATACCCTCATGTAGAAATGCTCGAGTCAAAAGTAAAGAAACGTGTTCAGGTAACGTTTGTCCCAGTAACAAACACAGGAAGAAAATCGCATAACTGACTTCTATAATTAATTAAAACGTACAGAAACCATATGACCGCCATTTTATTCTATTCCTTTTGTTACTTGAAGACAAAGACCATACCTCTCCGTATGGGGCGTTTACTTTCCAGTAACAGTCAAAGTTGCTGGAAAATGTGTCATCTCCAGGCCAAGGGTCTATGGTCACCGGGGCTGTCAGCACAGTGGGGTTCGAAGCCGGTGGACAAACTTGTCCTTGGGATTCTAGAGTAGAAAGTTAAAAAAATCCTCATAATAATCTGAAGGGCCTCTTGTCAAGAAGTTTAAAAAGTAATGGGACAATTTCCCACTAAACACATCGGTTACCCTTGTTGGGTTGGTGGCATGCCATGCAACTTAAAGGAGATAAGTACAGTTACCGTAAACGCACGTGTTATTAGACAAGTGACTTTTGAAGCGTGTATTCTGTTGTAAATTTGATGAAAACGGTAGCATCTTTTCGATTTTATGGCCAATACTTTTTTATGTGAAAATCATTAAATAAAACTCTAGTTTGATGGGTGCATATTCCTAATGGTATAAAATGTGTATGTCTTCAGCGATGTTTTGGCATTTCTTTATTCTAGGTCACGTTAAATATAAGTATATAGAATAAGAAATATATTTTTTTTATTCTAAATCGGTTTACAGCTACCATGTGATCATTTTTTGGACCAAGAGTTTATATTTACCAGCGATGTTATTGCATACGCATGGCAAATGACAATAAAAGCCCATAAACAAGCAAAGTGTAGCAAAATGTCCACCATAAACACCTTTAGATGAAAATGAGAGGAGAGCAATTTTTGAAATGATTCCTTCACATCTTGCCAGAACTTAGTGGCACATGGTTCCAATGGCTTTGAAACAACACTGCCCAAACAACACCATATATGCTTTCCCATGTTTGAAGAATTTATAATTCAAATATTCACAGAAGTTGCATCATGACATAATCATATTTCATTGTTGTTTCTCCATGTTGTTATTAGTGACAGCAAAACAATGATAATTATTTCTGTTGGCCTGCTCATAATTTACCTTCAAAAAACACATTACTGGAGTACTTTTACAATTTATTTTCTTATTAAGATACCTGTCCAAACGATAAATATTTATTACCTATTAATTATGTCTGGGTGTTTGTCTCCGCTGACATCCAGCAACATAAATATTTTGGTACTCCATGCATTTTGAATTATTGTGCAAAATAAAATAGCAGTTGATTGTTATTCTTCCTGTATTTTCTTCATTGGTTTATTGGTTAGGAACGGTTTACTATTTGTTTCATGTTTGTTTTAAAATTAGGCATTATATCCTCATTCATATCTAAATGAAACTGATTATACATATGATATATCGTAAACTTATCACAAAAGAAGTTGAACGACGGGATGTACTGCTTATAAATAAATACTTATAAGTAAATTAAATCCATTTATCCTTACACTCGTGCTTGTTTGGACGCTTTTGTAAAAACGCCCTTTTAACTTTTATCACTGCTTTGGCCAGGTGAAAACGGTATAATAGCTGGCGACTAATATATAGTTTTTTTTTTGGTGGGGGAGGGGGGGGGGTTAGTCCAAGTTCATTAACTGCACACCTTTCATGATCAACCTTTGTTGGTTTCGTGCATATTTATAGGAAATTTTGATATTTAAATTAAAGGAAATATCTTCACTGAAAAAAATGGACAGATTTTGACCGCCATCTTATCTTGCAAAAAAAGGTCATTTTGAATGCAAATTACTAATTCAGGCAGTAATTAGTTCATCAATATCTGCACAATAAAATATCTACTTTAAAAATATGAATGTATTAATCACTTTAATTTATTGGTCCTTCTCCTGAATATTCTCCATGGATGGTGGCCATCTTGGATTTGGGGGCATTTACACTTGAATGACCCCATTTGTCTATCTTCACGACTATTATTCGTCTCTAAATTATTTTTTCACAAGATATATATTCTCATACACTAGTATATCTCTGTCAAATTCGAAATTGATTTCTGTAAAAGGTAGGTTATTTATGAAATTGCAATTATTAAGCTGAGTAGTACCTGTAGATTACATATACCGATTGCTCAATAAGCAGCTTCATAAATCTCAGATATTAGGCCCCCCGATGAAATATTCATTCTGTGTTATTGTTTCTCGCTCTCATTTTAAGCATTAACTCCCAAGCTGTAGGGGTGGGGTGGTGATGTGTGTGTGTGTGTATGTGTGTGTGTGGGGGGGGGGTAATAGAAATAACTAAAGACTGCGGCCAAGCTGAGACCCTTTCATCCAAATAAGGCGACCTACTTATGCATACAGGTAAAGTCAGCCACCAAGCTTCACACACTTAACGCACGTGTTCTAATTGGAGTCGCACATATTTACGTAAAACAGTTTCAACAAGCTTAACACTGATCAGTGAATCTTTATATTACCTGAATTGCACACACGCTGTGAGACATGTGACCTTTAACGAGCACACCCTAATGCCAATTTTGTGTAGATTTATTGATATTTTCTTTACCTCTGTGGTAATCAAAGTTAAACACCGGATTTGAGGGGGTGAAGTGTTCACTTTAAATTTGAATAAATGTTACAAAATATAGACCCTTTTGCCGCTATTTTGTATTTTCTGAGAGATTAATCATGTAAGGCATGGTATCTGGAAAAAAAAAAAAAAACATTGTTTAGAGCAGTTTTCACCAATTTGTGATTAAAAAGCTGGGATCAGTGATGGGACAACGTTTTTGACCAATGTTGATGTATGTATTATTACTGCAGGTGTGTGTCCTGTACCAGCAGTAGTTGGGCATGTGACTGGTGTATATATGCTAACAGGTGCACCCACGCCAGCAGTACTTGTAGTCCTAGTGGAGGGGTGATACCAGGACAGAATGTACGTTCAATTTATTCTTTGTATATGTCTTTTTGTCCATAAAAAAGCTTCGGGCCAGACAGTTCTAGTCATATGTAAACAGTTGACATTAGAAATCAACAAAATTAAGATTGTGTGTGTAGGTTGATCAATTTACTATCATCATGTAATCTTAAAGGCCATTTACAGCATTAAGTAGAACAGCAGCGTTGTTATTTCAAATGAGTGTGTGGAAACAGTTTTCATCAGGATATCAAGCGATGCAGGAAAAAAAAAAACTTATCGTTATGTTTGAGGTACGTGAAGCACTACAGGAGAAATAAACGGATATCACACACCTCACGTTTATTATTTTGACAGAAACCTATTTTACGAATAAGGAATTGAGTCGTGTAGTTTCCGTTATTTCAGAGCCATGTCAGTGTTGGTATTAAAGGTCCCACCATGTGCCCCCAGCTCCTGCCACGTGCACAGGACATCTTGTTACCTGCTGGGGTCATCAAGGTGATCTCACTGAGTGGGAAGAACCTTCCTGTGCCACAGGTAACTTAAATGTGTTTCTTAATCACGCCGTTGTTACTTATTAGTGCATGTAGGAACACACTCTTGGAACTTCTGTTTTTTTAACAAAATAGAACCTTAGAATTATGGGAAGATAATTTGTGGTTTTGCATATTTACAAGTTCAGTATCGAATCAGTGCCAATGACAAGATCGACATGAAGCAGAAATTCAAACTTAAAACAGTGCTTTTAATAAAAAATAGGTTAATGGAATTTTACATTTTGCTGTGGCCCTCTGCAATCATTTTGGTTATTCTCCACCTTGCCCAAATGTTATTCCAGGCTAGCCAAGGTGGTTACCAATGTAAGATAGGCACTAACACAGTCCCAGCTATCAGACAGAATGATAGTGCCATAGACTGTCAGGGCCACGCTGTGAGTAGATATCATCACACAAAAAGCATACCATTAGAAAAAAAATTAGATATGAACTTGTCGCTTTTTCCGAAGACAGGGAGCATTCAACTCGTTCCAACAAAGGACAAATAACAGAAATATTAGACGACCACTTCCTTGAGAAAACCCACATATCACTTTGAAACCTCGTCATATACTGACACATGTTAGTCCAAAATTTTGCCTATTGCTGTCCTTTTCCAAACAGGCATATTTTAATAAATTAGGAAGTATCCTGAAACTCTAAATATGTTATAAATAGAACTGTTTTTCTAAGATAAAGACAGTTTTCTCCTATTTGAGCTCTGTCGACTAATGTTTAAAAAGGCGATTGGCTCTGTTTTATGGGGTTTTACCGTCCATTATTCCAGTATATATACACAGTCAATACAGGCCAGGAGAGACACCAAATCCAAGTAATCTGGAATAATATCCATGTGATAGATCAACCAACAGGCTCTCAAGTCAGTGGTATGTAATGTACACCAATTGGCTTTACTTCTTTTTTATCTCAAACTTTGTATGTAATCATGAAAATTCTCAGACACAAGCCTAAAATTTTCCGTACCGTTAGCTTACGGCCAACCTGGTCGAAGGCCTTCATCAGACTGACGTGAGTAGTTGTTCACACTCACTGACCGCTAGGTAATATAGCGGCCAGGACCCTGAGGCTCTCATGATGTGTGGTTACCCACCTTGGGCTTTAAAGACCAAACCTCGTCAGGATAAGACAGCAATAACTAACTGTGAGCCAACAGATACAGTCAGAAAAAAAGTTAGTGATTCTCCCTTATTGTAAAGGAATTTCAGAGAAAGTGTGCAGGATCTACAAAAAGCACAGTGTCAACACAGCTTTTAGACCCCAGTGCACATTGAAACAAGACCTAGTGGCACCAAAGGACAAAACCCCCCAAGAACAACGTTGTGGGACAATATACAGGATCAATTGCCATGACTGTAATTCCTTTTACATTGGTGAGACAGGTAGACAGTTGAAGATCAGGGTGAATGAACACAGGAAATCAGTGACTGTAGGCAATACCAGCTCTGCCATTCCTGAACATGTAATAGACACCGGCCACAAAATCGATTGGAATTCAACTAAGATTCTTGAATCTGAATCATCCGACATCCCGCGAAAAATACGAGAGGCTATCAACATCAGCCGACACCAGCCACCCATGAACAGGGACGGGGGGGTTGATCTACCTGACATTTATAAGAGGGTCCTGGCCGCTATACCACCTAGCGGTCAGTGAGTGAGAACAACTACTCACGTCAGTCTGATGAAGGCCTTCGACCAGGTTGGCCGTAAGCTAACGGTACGGAAAATTTTAGGCTTGTGTCTGAGAATTTTCATGTTTATCAACTACCAAGCTAATGAACAATTTTGCTCATTTGTATGTAATATATGTAAAGTTTGGAATGTGTGAATGCTTAAATATATCATCTTACCTTCTGAGAAAGAATCATTTGACATGTCGCTCAGAAGAAGAAGTATGGAATTTCACATGTTTACATGTTTCACATGTAAGGATACTTCGTAAATCTGTTTTTTTATTGACAGTTTACTGGGATCACTGTTTATTACTTTTATGGTTACAACTGCATTGTATGTGTAACACAAGTGTAACGTTTATGCGCAGTATATGTCATACATGTTTTTGGTAATTATGGTACACCATTACACGATGATGTTATTGTTATTTCAGCAACTCTGTACAAGTGTGATATCCTAGGGACCACATGTGGCACATGTATTGGTGCCGTGGATGCAAAGTTTAGGTGTGCTTTCTGTGGAGGGACGTGCAAGTATCGACCAACATGCAGTGTGCCAGCAGAAAACATTTGTCCTAATGTTATCATTAACTGGGTTAGTACTGTAATAGTTTGTAAATGTAATGTATTTTCAACCATCAGACAGTCTGATTTATGTAAAATTTAGAAGTTTTATATTGTAATTATCTTAATTTTCGAGTTTCTCATGGATATGCTTATCAATGTGGTAGCCAAGCGAACATTTTGTATCAGACAAACGTTAATTTTTTTGTGTTTAACAAACCGTTATTATATATGAAAGAGAATTGGGCCACGACAAAAAGATTAGTAAGCATATTTATCTGGGAATATGACAACATTTTAAAGTTAAACCATTGTCTGTCAGGTTTCTCCCTTGAGTGCCCCAGTTGAAGGTCACACCAAGGTCACCATCAATGGCACCAATTTAGGGACCTCTGATGCCAGTATACCCACTGTTACACTGGCTGGGGTGATCTGTAGACCTGTTGTAGAAGATTATGTGGTCTCAAAGAGGTAAAGAACAGTGTCTCAACCTGCTCAATTCCCATGACCACGGGTATTGTTGTCCAAAAATTCACTTCAGTTATTGGAAATTAGACATATATAACAACAGTAAGTCAATGCATTATTGACCTCTTGGATAGCGTTTTGGTATAGAGATTAAATGACAATTGTAACTGACTTTACTTACAGGAATACATTTTTTCATTATCAATCGCAAATCCAGATTTTTTGGCAGCCTTATGTGTCCACTAGACCCCGTAAGCTGTTTTATCTACAAAACCATTTCTTCTACTGTTTTATTTCCAAAAATCATGTTTTGCATGATTTTAGAATTGTGTGCACTGCAGCTGAAGCTCCAGGCAGGTGGGCCAGAAATGGTTCCATAGAGATCCAGGTCCAGGGTTTAATTAGGTCATACAGCTACTCCAAACAGTTTAGATATATGGTACGTAGGTCTTTTGGTGTCTAACTATATTCACGTCACTGGTCTTGATGGGAAGGTCTAATGACAAATACTGGTGGTAGAATATTAAATCTGGTATATTTAATGAATGTATTTTAATGATGTTTTGCCATTTAATAATTGATTGTGATGTAATTAGATTACATGCAGTTTAAGCGTGTTTTTAAAGGGATAACTCTTTATTTGAGTTTTAAAATTCCACAATTAATACAATGTAAACAATACATGGTGATAAAATAAATTCCAAATCGTCGTTTACCAGAGGCAAGTCCGTTTTTGTCACTTTTCCCATCAAAATAATAATAATAATTTTTTCCCATTAATTGTCCCTTTCAGGACCCCAGGCTGGAGACAGTGTTCCCAGTGAAAGGCCCCATGGCTGGTGGCACCAGGCTGACTGTGAGGGGGAAAGATCTTAACGCTGGCAACCTGGACAATATCAGCCTAACCCTAGAGGAGGAAATGTTGCCTTGTATTGTAGATAGGTAAGGAAATTTCATAGACTTTATGCGTCAATCGTTAATTTTTGTGCTAAATGTGTATTACAAAGTTGTTGGACTAAACAAAAGTCGCTGCTTTCTTTTGAAAATGAAATACTGCTTTAGTTAGACAATGGCATTTTTTCAACAATTACTGTAAAAAACATTTAATTAATGTATTTAAAGACCGTGTTGGTCTCCCAACTGTTCAAAACAAACATCCCACAGACAATATAAACTGATTGTGTGTGTGTGTGTGTGTGTGTGTGAATATTATACAAAACGGAAGAAATGAACGACTTAAAACCATGGTAATTCAGTCTATTTTGATCGATATAAATTTTGCGTAATTTCCAGAAGCACAATTGGTAGCCATTCCACAATTTGTACCACTCCAGGGATCAGTAGGCCAAAGGTCGTGACCTCTGTTAGGATGTTCTTCGACGGTAGTGTAAGAATGCTGGACCAGGCTCCCTTCACATACACTGAGGACCCTGTGGTGGAAAAGATAATGCCACTAACTAGTTTCTTCAGGTAAGATTAAGATTAAGATTTAGATCGATCTAACTCCCTGGGGGTTCACGCTAAATTGCAGTCAGCTGAGCGGGCACCATAGTTAATTACCCCCTTACAGCTTTTAGTAGGCAGGACAGACGCTTAAGCCGGCCAAGCTGACAGTAATCTAGTGAGACTCCCCACAGGGATAGATCGATCTAAAAATCTATGGAAATGGGGTGTGTGATTGTTTCCATAATTTTTGCATTTTGCTTTAAAGCAAAATTGTGAATTTTAAAAACGGAGTATAGGATATCACTACAGAGGCGTTTTTAGTCACAATTGTTCATATTATTCAGCGGAGGTCGGATATTGACAGTTACTGGGAAGAATTTTGACTCAATTCAACAGCCAAAGATGTTTGTATGGAACGGGAATGAAAAGTCGGAAACAACGGTAAGGGAAAGGCAATGCTCACGCAATTAAGCAAATGTTTTTTTTTGCTCTCTCTTTTGCTCTCTATAGGGGTACTTGAGTATCAGTGGTTACGTGTAATGTGTCTACTTGTCAGTGGTTAGCGTGTTTTAATGTTCTTAAGGTAATGGGCTGGTCCTTTGATTATCATGGTGAAGAAAGGGCAACCCGAACCCCCAAGCTATTTTTATACAGACATTGTGTAAATTATCATTATATATAATTATTATATTATTTAGTGAATTCTTGGTTGATTTTCGTATAATGCAGCCTTTTCGCTTTTCATCTTGGCATCTAATTATTTATTTTCTTATTCTGTCAGGATTGTTTCCATATACCAGAAATGTCCAGTACTACATTAACATGCCCGTCTCCAAGAGCGCCTAAGGGGATTCCCCAAACGATATTCCTACCAGACACTTCAGGTTCCTTGCGTTTTAAGAGAGAGTCAGACACCAATACCATTGCGAAGATTGGCTTTATAATGGACGGAGTGCTAGAAGTGCAGAATTTAACCAACATAATATCTTTTCTTCAATATGTTGTGGACCCGTTGTTCCAGAATTTGACCAGCGACGGTTCTAGTGTGAAATATCAAAGTAACACTAGCTTCGTAATACGTGTGAGTTAATCTTTGTTCAAGTCCATATTCAGAGTGAAAAATTCATACGTAGAAAAATAAATAAAAATAAAAGAGAATAAATCAATAAATGCAAACATAAATTAATGGGACATAAAGACCATTGATATTTAAAAACGGAAGGAGTTTCTTACAGTCAGGTCCTAATCCCTGAACCTACTTAACCACAATTAAGGCCAAGCTATGACTAGCCCAAAGAGCACTACCCGGTTAAATCTTTGAATATTGGGCAATGCAGCAGTCTTACAGTCTCCGTAGTCAATTAATTGGTAGCCACACACCTGTTTTCAAACTTCTCCATTCACATATCTTATGTGGGATCTGTGTTTAAATAGTATACATATTACGTAGGCATACCTTTCACTCTCAAAAATATTTCATATTCATTAATGTCGAATATTCAATCAGTTCATAATTCCTGGACCCATTTAATCACAGACTTCATTTTAAGATTTGATTATAACATACTTACATATAACTCACTATCGTTCAACAGGGACATTATCTCAACCTTGCCGCAAGCGAAGCAGATGTGACTGTTCTGATTGGTGGACATAACTGTGACGTCACGGGTTTGGCTCCCAGTGTTCTTGTCTGCACACCGCCACATTTTGACTACGGAGATAAACTGGTAACTGTAAGTATTCTGTACCATTGTAAACCTTGATTTTTTGTTTGTTTGGAATGTATTTTTATGAATGATACAGGGTGACTGTCCACTGCTCATCAAAGTAAACAATTATTCTCCATCAAAAGTTAATTTCTTAATTAAATGATGACCTGAAGAACACAATTCTCTAAGAAATATTACGTTGCCCTGTTAGGTTACTCATTGCTAATTTGCATAAGATATTATAGTTTTATAATAACATGTTAGTATTGCAAATGCATTGCTGGTAGTTAAGTCACTGTATACTTATTTTACAGAATACTGTCATGTATTTAATTGGAATGCATTTATTCTCTTCAGATACGCATGGGTAATTTAGAGTACCGAGTAGGGTATCTGAACTATGGGGATCCTCCTCTTCCAGGCAGCTATGGCTGGGTAGCCGGGCTTATTGTCTCTATTGTTGCTCTAACTGTCATTGGAATTGTTACCGGAGTCATAGTCTATAAAAGACGTGCAAAACGCACTACTACCAAACACAATGGCGCCAATGACACCGAGTACCTTGGTTTAAGCAGTCAAGTCACACCACCGCGTGTTATCAACACTATAGAGGACGCCTTGATGCTGGTGAAGGATGGTGACTTAAAGGTTGCTCTCAAGCCTGTACTGGTGAGCAGAGATCGGATTAAAATTGGGAAGTTAATAGGCACAGGTGCGTAAGTACCCATCGAGTAACAAACATGTTACGATGTAATGAAAAATCACTCTGGGTCTTAATTTATTTTCCGCATAAACATGTTTATATATTCGATTAAGCAATGATGCAATATGCATTTAGTATAGAGCGAGCGACAAATGTTTTATAAGTGTCTGCATATGCATTATATATGTATTTATTTGTTTGTTTCAGGGCACTTCGGATGTGTATTTGAGGCGACTTACGAAGACAGCGAACATTACAACCCATCTAAAGTAGCCGTGAAAACGTTTCAAGGTACATCCTAGAAATTGTTCAATCTCTATCGTGTTTTTAATATATGAATAGGATCGATATTTAGGTATCTGTTTATGATGCTTACTCAATCTGATGTTCTATAGATTCAAATGAAAAAGAAATCAACATGTTCATGCGCTTATATATATATATATATATATATATATATATATATATATATATATATATATATATAATCTGTTTGATAATTGTACTTTAGGTCAATAAATGCTGAAACACTTATTGACATTTAGCACACCCATACGCACCAGAACTTTTGCAAACTATCTATTTCTGCGCCTTCATTAAATACATGAATGCCTCATTCCCTGCAGGAAAGGGTGCAGACATTCAGCACCTAGACGAATTCCTCAGAGAAGGAGCTCTGATGACATCATTCCGCCATGATCACGTGTTGACAATACTCGGGATATGCTTCGAAGTTGACGGCAACCCCATGATTGTATTACCCTACATGGCCAATGGAGATCTCAAAACTTATATCGAGAATCCTAAGAATGTGTGTAGCAAATGTTGTGAATCTGGAAAGTGGTCTTACTTTTTCAAGATCAGATTAGTTATGCAGTTATGAACTTAAACTACCTTACCAGAAAACATTCAAGAAGATATGTGAATTGTTCGTAATTGCATTGTTTAGAAAGAGATTCACACCTACTGAAAGCGCGCGTGTAAGCACCTACTACATTGCAATTTAAAGGATGTTATAACGTGTTTTTAGATATTATTGACAACATGTATATCATGTTATTTTAGGCACCTACTGGACTACAGCTGTTACAGTTTGGTTTGGACGTAGCCCGGGGCATGGAATATTTGGCTGAGAACAAATTTGTCCATCGGGATTTGGCTGCTAGAAACTGCATGTGGGTAATATTCTCTGTCCCAACAGAACATATAACCTTTATATAGGGTAGATTACACAATACCTTTTTATTTTGCTTTGGCCGGAGGGGGGGGGGGGGGGGGTCGGAGGGGGGGGGGTCTTGAGGAACAGGTTCTTCCAAAAGCAAAACTGGAGAAAATCGCTTTTCTGTTTAGATTTTCAAACTACGAGTGTTATTAACCCTGTAAATAATATCTCTGACGCACTTTGAATGTATTTGCTAGTAATTGTGAGTATTATATATATATTACTTGAGCCAAGCAAATGATCAACCAAATCTACACGAGTCAGGCCATTGGCAGTTTGGAAGATAGTATAGTATAGTATAGTATAGTATAGTTTATTGCCGAATCAACTTGACATAGGCATATAACCATAGAAAGTATAACATTTGTGGTAGGTGGAGGTGGCAACCACTGTTGACATATTGGTGTACCTAAAAAAGTGGTGGATGGACAGACTTATATATCTTAAAAAAAAAAAAAAATTGCATTGTGACTTTTCTTTATAAGGCTAGTATTATATAGTAATTATATAGTATACCAATAAACAAATATTGTTGGATCAACTCAAAAACTTATAGTGTCCTCTCTAAGCTTAGAGGCAGCACACAGGAATCTAGCTAAATTTCTTAGGTCAGTAACATTACTGTGTACTTAATAACTGTACTAGTTTGAAAGTAGATGGCCTTCGCCAGTAATACTGTTTGATATAAACTCTTCTAAAGTCAGAGTACAATTTACATATCAAAATAAAATGATACTCATCTTCCACAACATTATCATTTGAGCAATACTGACAAATTCTTTGGTTACGAGGGATATTACTATATCTACCCTTCTCTATTCTTAAAGAATGGGATGAAGTTCTAAATTTACAAATTAATTGTCTATATCTATATGTTAAATTTTTCTGCAGGTAAAATTGCAGGCTGTGATTGTCTACCAAATGTCTATAAATGAAACATTTTGAAGATACATCTATTGTAGACCTAATTTCTTGCAACAAGTTGTCCTTCACTCTACCCTTGAATTCTTCAATAAATTTAGCTTCATTTGTGACATGTTGAGCTTCCCATACATAGGAAAAACCATGATTTGATAATAATCTTCTTACTGCTGTAGCCCAATTTTCATGATCATTACAGGTCTCAAGAAGATTTAGATAAACACCATTTAAAATGCAATTGTCAGTAGTCAAAAGTTTCAACCAGTATTTTACAACACAAATATATCTATTAAGTTTCAGTGGCAATCGCCCCAGTTCACTGTATACCATTGCTGTCGTGGCTTTTTTGTTTACCCCCAGTAGTAATTTGCAAAAAAGGAGGTGAACCTTTTCGATTTCTTGAGACCTGTGAAAACCCCATGTTTCACTTGCATAGTTAAATATAGGTAATACATACGTGTCAAAAAGAAAAATCTCTGTTTCAACATTAATTTTCATGTTTCGACATGAATTTCTTACTCTATACATGACTTTTCTTCCTTGACTTGCAATACACTTCTGTGTGAGGGAGAATTTTCCATTATAATTGATGACTAGCCCTAGATATGAGAAATAATTCACAACCTCCAATTTGTTACCATTATAATACCAATTTTCATGATCCGCCACAATACCACCATTTCTGAATACTACAATATAAGATTTGTCTGTGTTAACTGTCAAATTCCAATCATCTGAATATAGTTTAAGTTTGTCTAACATATTTTGGAGTTCTGTAACAGATTGAGAAAATAAATAATTAACAATTGAGAAAATAATACAGTATCATCTGCATAGAGCAATAAATAAAGATTCAAATCCCTTAGTTGCAACCCATTACACTTCTCTGAAAACAAGAAACTCTCAAAGTCATTCACATAAAGAGAATACATTAAAGGAGATAATGCCTCTCCCTGGAGTAGTCCAATATCAACATCAAAATAAGTGCTATTTAAACCCTTGTATCTGACACATGCTTTAAATTCAGTATATAAACTAACAATTATTTTCAACAATTTTCCAGTAAGTCCCTCTTTTATTAGCTTTCCCCATAATAAATTTCTATTGACTGAATCGAACGCTTTCGAGTAATCGACAAAACAACAGTATAGTCGCTTTTTCCTTCTAAGAGTATCAGTAATTACTCCGCTCAGGGAAAAAATAGCGTCCCGTGTCCCACTACCTGGTTTAAAACCAAATTGACAGTCAGATATTACATCATGGTTAGCTCTCCATTTCATTAATCTATTGTTGATTACAGAGGTGAATTTTTTTTGCAGTATGACTTAGAAGTGAGATACCTCTATAATTGCCAGTGACTATAGGATCCCCCTTTTTAAATATTGGTACTATTATAGCTTTTTTCCACTTTGACGGAAAAATACCAACCTCTAAAATCTTATTAAACAATTTAGTAAGCAATGGTATGGTTATGTGTTGGAATCTTTTGTAAAACTCGTTAAAGGTATGATCTAGACCTGGACTTCTTCCTGTACGACTATGTTGAACAACTGCTTTTATTTCCTCATTAGTAAATTCTTCATCAAGCTCTTTGAATACCGCGTGTGTCAAGTATTCATCTGCATTATCCAGAGCAAGGTTATTAGCAGGTTGATCATCTGACAGAAGGTTTTTAAAGTGTAAGAAAAAGTCCTCTGCTTCCGGTCCATTATAGTTGGTGCTTGTCCTTTTTCTGAATTTCTTGAAAAATTCCTTTGGATTGTTCTTACGCATATATGAGATCCTATTTCCCTCGCACTTGTTGTAATGACTCCTTTTTTTCTTCACCATTTCCTTGTATTCTGACTTAATATTACATAATTTTATTCTATTTTCATCTGTTTTATATGCATTAAATTGTGATAAAGCTTTCCTATATTCTTTGTGCTTTTCCTTGCACTGGCTGTCAAACCATGGCTTATTATCCCCTGAGGGTTTATTTTTATTTCTGTGCAGAGTAACTGTTTGTTTGCATCCTCCCGTAATATCATTCAGAATTTCAGTAAAAGATTCCATTGCCGAGTCCACTGTATTGCTATCCATATCAGATATTATTCCAGTCAGTATTTCTAGATTAGCTACTAATTTATTTTCCATGCTTTGGATATCCTTGTCATTCCATTTAAATAGATCGAATGTGTACCTTGTTTGTTGCCCTGAGTAATGTATACCTTGCCCCTGATAATTACTGTGTGGCTGATCAGCCAATGAGTAAAGTGTAACTGCTAATGGTAGAAGATGAAGTTGACATTTGAATAGTAATCATTGGTGATAAAAACTTACCCATCTTTGCTATATTTTCAGGCTAGATGACCAGCTGCACGCCAAAGTGGCCGACTTTGGACTGACTCGTGACGTTTACACCACGGAATATTACAGTTCCAGAGACAAGCAGGCCAAGTTGCCGGTGAAGTGGATGGCACCGGAGTCCATGGAGAGAAACGTCTACACTTTTAGATCCGATGTGGTATGGACATGCTGTTTTATCTAGTTTTACGTCGAAAGTTACTGCTTTCCCCTGATTATTGGACGTTGTATTTTATGTCAAAAGCAATAAGCTAATGGACACGAGAAATCAAATTTATATTGAATATGTAAAGAATGTTTAACGATATATAAATAAGAACATGTAAGAAAAAACTTAAACAATCAGGAAATATCGTGATATATATATATATATATATATATATATATATATATATATATATAAAGTATTATATATGACCTCTACTTTTCTCAGTTCTGTACGATTTAGAGCGTTTTTGTTTTGGGATTTTCCTTTTTGTTTCCCCTTCAAAGTACATTATTTTATCATTGTATCAATAAATTAAAGGGAGGGTATCATAACTGATGTCCATAATTGTCCATACTGCAGTTACTGTTCCGACTGTTGAAATTATATTAAACTTTCCATTGCTCTATATTGGCATTGTGTAATTATGTATGCTATGTTTTTTTAAACTACTAGTATGAATGTCAGATCATCCTTGTATTCAGTAAGGTATTAGTTGAACTATATAAAATGTTTCTTTTGTCCACAGTGGTCCTATGACGTACAATTCTGGGTACTGTTCACTCGCAGTAGGGTTATAAATATTATTATATAAATAATTCTCTTGTCTACAGTGGTCCTATGGCGTCTTACTTTGGGAACTGTTCACTCGTGGTAAGGTACCGTATCCTGGTGTAGACGGATGGGATGTTCTACAGTTCCTGAAACTTGGGAGAAGACTGGACATACCTGACTACTGTCCTCAGCAAGTGTAAGTCCTGACTAACAGCAAGCCTACGGGTATACACAAGTACAATTTATATGTATACATGTGGCTCTTTCTGGTCAAGTCCTAGGGCGTTTTTTTCTAATACAGTGCCAGTATTTTTAATGTTATCATAAGAGGGTCTGGATTTCTCAGTCCTCTTATATGATGCAAAATTTGCATGCTTCTCCACGCTGAATCAGTGTCTGCCTGTATCGGTGCGTAACAGTGCTAGTTGCACATGCACCTGACTGTGCATTCAGACACGCACATTGTACATACTACAGGTAGTATACTGCCCTGGCGGATCTCGAAAATGGGGTCACCTGACTATAAACCAAAACTAAATACAGGGGTATGTAGACCCTGTCGAAAAGGGAGTGAAAAAAAAAAAAACAAACAAAGTCTACAGAGGCACGTGCGTTTCATTTGTGTGTGTGTGTGTGTGTGTGTGTGTGGAGAGGGGATTTGGGGTAGGGTGGCAATTACTAATGGCGGTCCAAATTATTTGGATCCCGTTCTTGTTGCCTTGCTTGTATCCATTCTGTTCCTACCCTGTCGTCTCTTCTATTCCAGGTACCAGCTCATGCTGAAGTGCTGGTCGTGGGAGCCAGAGGAGCGGCCAGACTTCACCTCTATTGTAACACAAATAGAGGAGACAGTAAGAGTCAACACGGAAGTTAGTGGAGAACCTGGTCACAATGAACGTGGGGGAGGGGATGGTGATTATCATATGTACACTGAAGTGTTCCATTAACAATGTAACACCTGTTTATAATTTTGTCCACTCGTTTTTGGACTGTGTTTTTCATTTGGACTTTGCTATAAGGATGACGACGCTGATTCCTCCTCATATGGTCTTGCTACCTGTATATTTGATTAAGAATGGTCTTTAGGGATCGATTACACGTCCACATTTTATTGTGTTTGGCTAAGGTGAAAAAAGTGCTGCTTCCACCACTATTGAACTTTTGTGTTCTTTAGGCTATGGATTATCGCATGATACGCATGGCATCTAAGAGCCCATTCAGAACAGATAATCCGCATACTAACTGATCCACCGACTAAATATGGGTGATCTCACTTAAAAAGCGTTGTCGCTATAATTCCTTGATGGTCCCCCCGCTTCCACCGTCGCTGCAGGAACCTCGGAGCCGTTTAATATTTTTTAACATATACATCCGCTTCCAGTCGAAAAATAATATTTCGACAGGTTTTTCTGCTTGCAGTCTATGCTGTATATAAATGGGTCAGAGAGTTAGGTCAGCTTATTGTAAAAAAAAAAAAAAAAAAAAAAAAAAAAAAAAAAAAAAAAAAAAAAAAAAAAAAAAAAAACATTTATAGAGATTTAAATCAAAGTATGTTCTTCATTTGCATGTTTTTCATATATCGTGTGTTGCATTTTGCTATTATTTCTCACATCTCAGCAAGTGAAGTTCGTGATTGGCATCCTGTTCGATCTCCTTCTGCTTTATAAGATATAGTTTCTTTTTCTTTTTTTATTTTTGGGTGGAATATCGGGTTTTTAAGAAAAAAATATATACAAACAAATCTGGTTTACACATGTCTCTTTAAGATAATGTTTGGAACACGAATGACTAGAAAATCTTGATGACACAACTGACTACGAACTTCTCCATTCTCAAATCTTATATGAGATCTTATTTTTTAAGAACGCATTTTATGTAGGCATACCTTTGAAATCAAAATATGCCATATTAAATATCAGGTATATCAATCTGTCAATCTTTATATCTATCTATCTATCTCTTAATACCTGTGCCTTTAATTTCTGGCAAAGACAAATAACAAAAGTACGCAGATGACGTTAAACCAAGCACTCCGGTGGTCATTCCCTCTATTGTTGTTGTTGTTGTTGACACTGGCTTGAGACGTGTCCAAGACTCCACTATTACAGTAATTGGTACTACAGCAATGCTTGCAGGCTTTACCGTTGCCGCTTCCCGTGCAAGTATTTCCCTGCAGCTCCTGGCTGGTACATAGTGACTTTCCTATGCACCCGCGGCTGTAACTGTAGGCAGTGATGTAGGAACTGTAGAAGGGACTATAAAAGCTGTACGCCTTAGCTGTAGTCTGCAAGGAAGAACGTGAATAACCATTTTGTAAAATCAATATTAATACTACAACCAATGATAATGATGATAAACACCAAACCCCCCCCCCCCAAAAAAAAAAAAAAAGACTTGACATCTAATATGGAATCTTTTTTTTCCAAATAATTTTTCATCAGTTTTTTCCTATTTTGCAGACTGATAAATGAAAATATGGATTGAAACCGTGTTTAAATAACTTTTAATTACCTCTTTGATGCCATTGTGACATCAGTTCAATAATGGAATTCGGCAGAGAAGCAAACAAAAACACATTGCCTATTCTATGTCATACGACAACCATTAAAAGGGATATTTTGGACCTCCATATTTTCCAAATTATCGTCTCTAAAAGAGTTAGAAGCTCCACAAAGGACCCTCATGTCAGTGTCTAGTCACAGTAACGGTCGCTGTTACGCCTGACTTCTTCTGGCTGCTTCCAGCGCTCTCAAGTGGCAAGGCATTCCTTGGGATAGGTTTTTAAAAATCAATCTGGAATAACATTCCAGACATCGGTCAAAATCTGCCCAATTTGGTCCAGTTTTGTTGTAGGACATGTAGGCCATTGATTCGGAGAGTAATGGCCTACCCACATATTGTCTATGTGGTTCAGATATGGTAATTTTGATGACCAAGGTAGCTGCTCATTCCCTTGGTTCTGTAAGTAAACTGCTATTAAAAGTGCTCTGTGTGAACCGGCAATCGCACCGTGCAACCTAAAATTGTTATTAAGTTGTCCCCTATCAAATTATAGCCAAGTGGTTCCCAGATTATTTCTTTATTTGATTTGGTTCAGGTTTTCGTCGATGACTACCATTGGTGTTTTGGCACCAATGTGGTATCCACTCCAAATACTGACGCTGTTAATGACCTTAGTCAAATTAGACGCGGCAAACGCTTCGTCGTTGGCCTCTTCTGGATATCTTAAAACTCTGTTTTGACTGTTGAGCGGTACAGGTGAAATCTGACTTCAATAAAGAAAGCCACAAATTTCAGTGTTCAACCCAGAAACAGTCAAGGTCTCCAATTCAATAGAGAAACATACAACGATGTTTTGCTGTTTACAGTGGGTTCTTCGGAGGTCGTCTGGTATTCTAACCTACTAAAACCGGTTTGGTGTTCGCTAAGGGCCTTGAAAGATGCGTTTTGGTGGTAATTTACCCCTCATTCTGAACGGACTTGGTGGTTTTTGTTTAGTTGCAACAGCATATCCCGAAAGACAGTTGGTCCTGTACCCTGGTGGTGAGATTTCAATACATTTGGTGTGGCCTCTGTGTAGGTACATCAGTCTAGGCATTACTCTGTAAAACTGTGCGGACTGTTTCGTTTGGCGCAATTATCTGTCTGGCAATGCCTGTGTTTTTCGCGCCATTCTGCCACAGATTAACACATTTGTAAAGCACTGTATAGCTCATTTTACACACCGCAAAACCGACCACTTACATGCAAAATTTCAAATTCTTCTATGCAGTAGTTGCCGACATATGGATACTTTTTTTGACAGAACCATGCTTTGCCAAAGCCAAGCTTTGACCTGCCCAAAGGAGCACTACCCAATTAAATCACTGCATATTACATAATGCAACAGCGCAACAAACCTTGTAATCAGTTAATTGGTAGCGACACACCTGACTACACACTTCTCCATTCACATATCTTATATGAGATTGGAGTTTGTGAAAAAAAAAAACGCATATTCACCTAGGCATACCCGCACGAAAACGAAGTAGATACTCCAGCGCAGTAGACTACTGCAATCATACTGCAAACATGCTTCAAATCTGCTTCGAAGTAGGAGCTAATTAGCATATTTGAAACATGCTTCTATCATGCTGCTAATCTACTGCATTAATGCTCCTCCTCTGTACAACCCTATGTAATTTTTGAAGTAGAATTGCAGTAGGCTATACTGCATTTCTACTGCAAATATGCTTCACACCACTACTGCGTTAATGCTTCTTTGCTACTTCGATACTACTGCATTTTCGTGCGGGTACATTCGAAACTGAAATATTCCATATCAAATGTCAAGTATATTTTAAGAAATTTGCTGGACTTTAATTTCAAAAAGTATGTGATCATTCCCCAGAGTTTCAGTTATCTTGGTCGTCTTTCATAAAAGTTATGTATTTTAAATATGCTTGAAATTACATCCAAGCCATTGGATGCACGCTTACATACGTCGCAAAAAAATTGTCAATTTTTCAAACACATGCCTCCTTCGGGATTTTTCTGATTTTTGCTGTGGTTGCTCCTCACAGTTAACCAATCCCTTGAGGATTGTTCTGGAAAATGTGATCCGAATAATGCAAGCACTAAGGACGCTTTCATCGTATTATCTGGGGACGCTATGTCTGAAGTTCAAACACCCTGATCAGCTTAATTAACATTCGGTAGTTTATTACCTCCTAACTGCTCGAGAAAGCGTGTCTATAAATTAAGTTGATTCCACTGATTGCTCTTCAGCGAAAATTCCCCCCCGCGGAGATTTATATCTGGATCCAGACCTTTAAAAAGTCGAGCGAACATGACGAATACTGTCCAAGTCTTATCTGACCAACTTTGGGGCTGTACCGCCGCGCTCGTGTGTGAGATGGACTTAGTGAGCGAGGGACAGTGTTTGCATGAATACAGAGACCTACATGATGTCATCATGTATGTGTACATGCATTTGTGTGCGCGCGCAAAACGGAGAGAAAGACCCCATTCCCAGAGACTGATCGATCCAACTAGATCAACCTAACTCCCTGGGGGTTCACGCTAAATAGCTGTCAGCCGAGCGGGCACAAAAGTTAATTACCCCCTTACAGCGTGTAGTAGGCGGGACGGACATTCAAGACGGATTACATTACAGTAATCTAGTGAGACTCCCCACGGGGATATATAGATCTAAACTCTATGGAAATGCACACAAAGACTCACGTGGCATACAGATCCACCATCACATGTGATGAAAGAGGTGTGCAATTGCAAAGTGTTTTGTGGTTCTCTGCAGGCCAAAGTGTTGGAGCAAGATGCACATCTGGGTCCACTCTGAAATTAAACAAAATGATAAAAATAAAAGGACCTAGTTGTTATATAGAGAATGTTTTGGATGAGACCAGTAACTGTGCTATATTATTTAGTGATACAGTTAGGAAGTAAGATTGGGAATGAAGGATTCAAACTTCGTGTTCTCACTGTTTTAATCAAAATGCATCACACAACTAATACAAAAATGTACGATTTTTTCTCTGTTATTATATATTTAGAAAATTAAGCAGCCATGAACAATTGTCACGATCCCACTGTCACATCTTTCACAACCCAATCCTTTGCAGTGATGAAAACAGGCTACAAGAAGAGGAAATATTGGCTAAGTTCCTAAACTGTATTCACAAAAGAACATTTACATATCTTCTGGAATTAAAACCAGATATAATATATATTAAAGTCGAAATTGCCACACAAATGTTGTTTTGATTATGTAATCTTAATCATTTCATTCAAAGAAAGGCGTTCCTTTAATCTACAATTGTAAGATGTTCCACATGTTCGTAGTATTAGTAAGATTACGTTTCCATGCTAACAAATTAATCGTCTTTGGAATGTTATACTGTATATGGGTTCCAATATACCCTATTATATATTATGGAGTATATCTGAAAAAATCTGTAAAATAAACAATCAATACTTACTGCTCCTGTGGGTGACGCGGTTGAAGCTGAAGGGTAAAAACCTACATAGCGGAAAATGTTAAGAAACTCATTATTAAATGTTAATATCATTTTTATGTTTCAAAACGGCTTTTGAAAAACGACATGCTGTTCACAAATTCACTATGCCAGTTTCTGTATTTTTTTTTCATAGGGTTCTATTATGGCACTTACAACACATGTAAAAAAAAAATTCAGCAATTTTCTTGACAAAGGGTGCCCCTAAAGGATCAGCTGATATGGAATAACCCAGTTGAAGATAGACAGAGAGACATAAATTACGAAGGGCTGGGTGGTATATGCTCGTATCTAATAAATATGTCTTGTTGTGCATTTTTAATTCCAGTGCTCCATAGCCATAACTCTTGGTATTTGAGAAAGGAAGCGCTCTCTAGAAATGGAAAGTATAAATACATGAGGCAGGCATACAGACTGGCACCAAGTGTAAACAGAGATACAAATGGCTGCTAGAAAGACTAAAAAAGACGGACATGTACTTACGTGAATATCCCTGACAATAGACGCCAGCGTCATCATAATCGTATAAGTCACAATTATCTGTGGAATGTGACCCTATTCCTCCGTTTGCGCAGTTCGTAATGGCGGTCTCTGATCCCAGACAGCGGACATTGGACAGCCAAAATGACCCATTCCCCTTAGGAGACCAATCTGATTGAAAAAAAAGGAGTTGGTATTTGATTTAAAATATGGCTGTACAGTCTTCCTTTTTCCATTTTCCGTAAGAAATAACGTGTTGTAAAAAGTTGAATCGTGACTCCAGCATTTCAATACAATTCTTCAACACAGCATTTCCAAAGCACATGGTGGAATTCAAGACATACGATAGAATTTTAATGCACGATTTGGATGTGTCCATATTTCATTGATTGTCAATAGGGTGGGGTACATGTAAATAACGTTGTGGAAATCTGATGAGGAACGGGTGTTTTTAGAGGCAAAATGGGTAAATAAGTTCACGAGAAACTTGAGCTATGATGAGAATGAGATGAGAAACTTGAGCTATGGGCATTCTTTGGATCGGTAATTTTCCTTTTTATTGGAAATACATACAAAGCATGTGCACTAAATATAGTAACTACATGTATATGCAGGTACACTCTAAAACAAACTGGTTATGACCCTTATCTATAATATCAGTAAGAAGTTACTAACGGTTAGCGTTAAACCCACGGATAGGTCAACACTGCTACCGTGACGATCTGTTATAAGTAACCGAGTTTGCACTAATAACAAAAACACCAATATTAGCTGTTATTTACATGTTTAATTGCTTATAATTTTAGTTCCATTTGTAATTTATATCATTTTTTTATCTCAGCGGAGGGTTGTAGTAACAGTAGCCTACCTTTATTTTTGCGTGATGGATGAATTTAAATAGTTGTGCTTATTTGTAGCATGCAGTCAACAAAAGCCTAGTTGCACTGCAGACATAATGCGGACATTGTGCACATACTTACGGTCGATATGCAGTTACAGCCCTGCATCAGAAAGCAGGACCCCCGGTTTTCTGTTCAGAGGAGTAGTAAAACGTGTTGCTTGTTTTTATATCTGATATGTCATAGAAATATTACACTTTTCAGTCAAGGAGAACTGATTTCTTGGCTATAACGAGCGCGCAAACTGCAAACGAAGCTTTGCTGCATGCGCAGCACGTGAACTCTCTTATGGGTTCAGAAGTAGCCCTTAAGCCTGGATCACATTGCGCTTGCAACATTTTAGCAACCTTTTTGCAACCACACAATCTGACGTTCGCTTTATCCTTTAATATTTTCTTGTTTAAATACTTGATCTCTTAGGGGTCGCAAGGCCTGTGCGTTTACGGTCACACTGCGAGCTAATTAAGAAGCTATGGGCAATTTTAATCAGCAAGTAGTCGCAAACCGGTTGCAACAAGGATGCAGTATGGTATTTTCAACTGCTTAAAGATTATCTTTTAACTACAGGTAACCAGTCGCACACCGTTTGCCGAGCGATTGCTGACCCCGTATCTCGAAAGCATAGCGTATTGCGAATCGCTATATCAAATAGAGGCTACAATGTATTATATGGGACGAGTAGTGAAGCTATCGAGATACGGGGCCCTGGGCTCCGTATCTCGAAAGGTTCGCTATGTTGCGCACGTGCGTTAGTGTCTCGATTCCATAACCAATTCTATTTCGAGATACGGGGCCATGGAATCGAGACGCACTTGCACGTGCAACTTCATTGTTTACTCAGATAATATGGCTTTGCAAATTTTAACAGTGACATACAGCAATAAAATACTCAGGGTATTGGTATATTTATACAGGATCATTGCAAAGTGATAAAATAAATAAACGTAGCGTGAAAAAATCGTACATTGCTTCTTAGCCTCAAATTTATAATTATTATTATTTTTTTTTATTTTTTTTTTTTTGGGTTCATAGGTTTAAAATGCGTGGTATATACACTGAAAAAAACTTGCCAACAAGTGCAATTTATGTTTTCTTTTTCTAAATATTATAATATATGGTCTCGATATTTAGAAAGCATACATGAAAAAATATTTAACCAAATAGACCACCATCCTACGCCTATTTTATTGCGGTCGCTTGCAACCTTCCAGCGACATATTTTCGAATGCTTGCGACCGGTTCCAGCCACGTAAAGCTGAAAACTGACTAGGACGCCGTAAGCTGTGGTTAAAGGTATAATTTCCTAGACTTCTACGCAATATCAATATTTTTAATCTCAAAATAAACACAAATTTAGCAACATGAATCGTATATCGTCTCGTCCCTGCACTTATATTTGGCATTACAGACCCTATTCCCACAGATTTTAGATCTATCTCTCTATCACTTTGAGAGTCTCACTAGATTACTGTCAGCTTAGCCGGCTTAAATGTCTGCCCCGCCTACTTAAAGCTGAAAGGGGGTAATTAACTACCGTGCGCGCTCGGCGGACAGCAATTTAGCGTGAACCCCCAGGGAGTTAGGTCGATCTAGATGGCTCGATCTAAATCTATGGGAATGCAGTCATAGAGAGCAATTTGAGAGTAGGCATCGTTTCTCTAGTTTTATTATATTAAAATAAATTCTTCCTAACCTCTCGCTGCTCTAATATATCCGCCATACCCCAACTGACGACAAACAACCTCGGCGTCGTCGCTTCCCCATCCATTGTGACAAACACGCCTCCATACTCCGGCAAACTTGATCTCCACACGGCCGCTGTTGTAGCCGTTACCGTCCACCAGACGAAGTTGACCATCGTCAGCTAGAAAGTTGAGGATAACAAAAGTTATGACTGTCACAGGTGGAAGAGGTAGCTCCCACATTAGGGACAGCTTTTGTGGGCTGCGTGCCTGGGCCGGTTTCACAAAGCAGTAGTTAGTTAGAACAACGAACTACTGAACTACCTCGCTAACGAGCAAACTAAGCGGTTTTCGAGGGGTGTCTCACGAAGCAGTAGTTAACTTATCGCTAAGTTCAGTCGTAAAGTTCGGTCGCTAGTTCTCTCGTTACTCACCGTAGTCTCGAAACCGTCTGCCGGAAGTGGAACTCTTGCGTAAAAGTGTCACGAAAGCACTAACTCTCCAATTTTTGGTGGCTGGAAATGCATAAGAACGTCTGCTTTGAGGTCGTCGTAAAGGATCTCCACCACCTTTTTGCCGCTCTTTTTGTCACAGCTAGGCGCAACCTCTCGTAAATTGCATCATCGTGTGTATATTCTAATAGATTCTGCCTTTCATGAAAACGTCGTAGTCTACGTTGCCGTCTGGCGGTACGGTTAGCAAGAAAGGTAGCCGTCATATTGGATACAAAGACAAACGACAGACAACGGTAACTAAGCAACCTTTTTATTTCACTCATTACGCATGCGTACGATGAAACTCTAGAGTTAGCGACTGGTCGGACCAGTCGTTAAATATCCAAGGTAACAACGAGACAATAACGAGCGAGAGAACTAGCGACTGCTTCGTGAAACGGCACTATAACTAGCGAGAGGCTAACTACCGATCGCTAACTAACTACTGCTTTG